AGGTTTTCTTTCCACACTTTTCTATCAAATGTGTTTCTCATTTCTCTCCGCACATCGAATCTACACTCAAAAACATATGGATCAAAATCTATGAATGTGATTACTAATTTAGGTCGTTATATGTTGTGAAAATATATGTTAGGGTTTTTTGTCTGCTTTGGTCGGCTCGGTTTATAAAATATGTGACGATTGGGATGGAGTTGTCGAAAAGACGTATATGCTAATGTCTTAGCACCATTAAGACGTATATGAACTCAAGTTTTACTTGGACTATAAAATATTGCATATAACAAACAAAAGATAAATCAAGATAAGCTCCGGTGATTATGATTCTGTGTCTTAGTTGGGTTTAATAGCATAAGCAAATACTAAGTGGGTTTTTGGCACATACTGTTTGTTAGCACACTAACACAAAATACACTCAAATATTATATATAACAAAGAAAAAGCGATCAATTGATTTTGATTTTATGTTTTTAGTTGGGCTTAATAGCATAAATTAATTGTACGTATAAATATAAAGAAAATAGTTCCATAAAAGAGAATCTTTGTAAAATGAAGTGGCATCTCCAAATCATGTGAATGTCTCCTTACTTATTTCTCAATTTATGCCATTTTTTTTTTCCTTTTCTTGAATCATTTTTCTTAATTTCTTTAATTACCCATTATTGTTTTAATTTATTGATTAAGATATTAATTGTCTTAACTTATTAATACACTATTTGTATTAATCTATATATACATTAAAGAAGAAACCAAGGTTGATGACTTGGCTTCTTCTAAAGATTAGAAACATATTTATCTTTTTTTTCATTCATCATCCTTTAATCTTTTTTTTTATTTAATTTTTATAAATATTGATTATTCATTTATGTTTGCATTTAACATAATCCTTTCATTTTCYCTAACTCTTCTTCATGAATTGTTCATCATTCAATCTATTTTTCTCCATCTCTATCACTTGATTTGTTTTTCATTTCATAAATTGTTAGTTTTCAACAAATATATTTTCAAGTTTATTTCGAGAGGACTATCAGGTATGCGTTCCTTTTTATTTTTGTTGGGATTTTAGAATTTTGTTTTTTTACTTTTCTCTTCTATAATTGTCCTAAGTTTTCTCAATAAAACAGAGTGTTTGTTATTGATAACATTTTTAGAGTTTTCATGACAACAATGGTTCGATTCATGATCTGAAGATGGAATCTTGAAAGTACTACCAACCATGATGTAGTCTCAACAAACTTCAACATGTTTTTGTAATGATTATCTTTTTTCAAGTGTACTTTGAGAAAACTAATGTGTGTATGCATTTATTTTGACTTTTGTTGAGATTTTAAAGTTTTTTTGTTATAATTTTTTATGTAGCATCACCAAACTTCAACATGTTATTTTTTAATGGTTACATTTTTTTCCATGTTTATTTCGAAACGATTAATCTGAGTATGCAATTCTTTCTAATTTTGTTGGGATTTTAGAGGGTTTTTTTTAACTATGTCAGAGGTGGCCTCTTCTAAAGCCTCCTTATTTTTCTTTTTTCTCTTTCGTTCTCTTAATATCCTCTACTATATACTTTTTTGTCAATTTATGTTTTTTTTCTTAAATGTTAGCATTCAACTCCAAACCATTCATCTACTTCTATATTAATTCTAATGACATAACTCCAAACCATTTATTTTTTCCAATCAATCATTTATTTTAATATATAACAACAACTATTTATTCAGCTTCATCTCTCATACCCTCTCAAATTCTATCTCAATCATATACATCTCTAAATTTATTTTTTTTCTTTCTGGTTTTTCTTCTATTTTACTATTAATAATATTCATAGGTTTTTTAATTTTTTTCACTTCTCCCGTAATTTTATATATGTTTGTATCGTTATTTAGATTGCATTATAGTTTTTATACATTATGTCATGAAGATTTGAAGAAATCTTCAAGTTCAKTATTTGATTTTTTGGTTGCAATATAAGGTAATAATTTTATATTGATTTGTTTCATGATTTTGATTGCATTATAATTTTATTTATGTTTGTATTGTGATTTTTGTTTGCAATATAACTCTTTTTTCAATTAGGTGAAGATTTAAAATATTCAAGTTCACTATGTAATTTTTACTTATGTTGAACGTTTTTTGCTTTGCAGGTTTTCGAGTTCTTTAACGTTTATATATCAAGTTTTGAAAATTTGAAGTTTTCAAGTTTGGGTTGTGGGAATTTGTGATTATGATCTAAGGTAAGGATTTTATGCAAAATTGTTTTGTAATTTAGAGTGTATTAGAATGTTATGTATGTTTGTATCAAGATTTTGATTGGATTATATTTTTAAGTATGTTCTAATCTTAAATTTAGTCGTACTATAATTCTATGTATGTTAATGTTGTGATTTTGATTGCATTATAATTTTATCTATTGGGTTATAAAGATTTGAATACTTTAAGTTTGGTATATAATTTTTTTACATATCATTGGTTGGTCAATTCACTATTATGTTTTTAAAGTCAAGGTGTGTGTTGAGGATGAAAAATGGCATATGTACATCATCCTTTGAAGGAGACATATCTTTATGTAGAGTATTTTTATTCTTGAGTTTGTATCAGATTTCTTAATATTCTCATCGTTATTATTACTCATTTAATTTAGCTTTACTAAACAAATCTCTCTCAATATATATGTGTGTGTGTGTGTGTATATTAAAATTTCACTAACTATATTTTATTTAACTTCTTCGAATTATTTGAATACGATTTGTTGATGATTCTATTAACAATTAATATATATTTATATAGACAATCCTCAGATCATCAATCAAGTACTCATAATTACAAAAAAATGAACAAAATGAAAAATTATAATTGGTTAAATGCAGTTTGCACGGTTTGTACAAATTAAGTGGTTCGCATTTGATCGCTCCCCTATATATATATATATATATATGTATATAGGGAGCGATCAAATGAAAACCACTCAATTTGTAAAAACATAAAAACTTCATTTAACCAATCATAATTTTTAATTTTGTTCATTTTTTTATAATTATGAGAGGTTGATTAATCATTTTTATTGTGGAGGGTGTTAATCATGGATATTATCATCTTCATTATTTTAATTTTAGAGAATTGTATGAAATAGTTTCATTAAAATTTCATTAAGTAGTATATGAAACAATTTCATAATCATATATGAAACAACTTCATCAAAAAAAGGTATTATATGAAACAATTTCACAAAATTAAACAATTTCATGAAAAAATTTCATAAGATTAAACAATGAAATCGATGGATGAGGGTGGTTTGCACGATTTTTACAAATTGG